CCTTTATTTTCCTTTATATCTCACAGTCTACCTCTCCCAACTTCCACAGTCTAAACTTTCACTCATCCTTCTGAAAACTAATTCAGCTGCTAACTTTGATCACTTTGGTCATAACCACCACTTTTAAATTTTTGTTATTTTCACTTACACCTTCTCTCTACTTCACATAACTCTGCCCACCTTACCCTATTAGCTTAATTTCTATTCATCCTTCCATTCAACTAAGAGAATGTCTGCTTAGAAAAAATCTTTACGAATTTCTGTGTACTTGGTCCTTCTTATTCTATGCTCCACTGGTATTTAATTTATACTTCTGCTATGGCAATCATAACACTGTGACTTGTACCAAAAATCCCTGCCTTTAGGCTGATCAACTGTGTCTCATTTTCTTTTAAGACTCTTGCATCCTTTTTTTTTTTCTTTTTTCTTTTGGTACCAGGGATTGAACTCAGGACCTCATGCTTGCCAGGCAGGTGCTTATACCACCCAAGCTAAATCCCTGGCCTAACTCTTGCATCTTATACACAGCATAAATTTAAAAATAGGTTTTGTGACATTTTAAGAAAGTTAGGAGAGGAGCCAGGGATATAGCTCAGTGGCATTGCACCTGCCTGGCAAATGCGAGGTCTTGAGTTTGATTCCCAGTACCAGGGGGGAGAAAAGACAGCAAAGAATGAAATCTGGAATGGACAATTGTGCAGAAAAGAGATAATATACCAGGTTTTTCTAGGCCTGGTGGCATATGTCTGTAATCCTAGCACCCAGGGATAGCTGAGTCAGGAGAATCACCCTAAAGTATTTAATGAGACCATGTCTCAAAAAATGACCAGAACAACAACAAAGAAGAAAACTCAACAACAACAAAAGAAAAGCGAGCCTAAATTGCTACCCTTTGAAAGATTGGCCCTTCATTAGTGTTGGGGAATTTAGATGACAGGAGGACACCCCCTAGATATTCCTCGTTTAATGATCTGCTTGTTTAATGAATATTGGGAGCTATGATCCATCTTTTTCGGTACAGTTCTGTACATCTTGTCTATAGAGCCTCAAATGTCTGTTTTGTACAGCACACCATATTTATACAATACTAATTTTGCTCCCTGTACCGTGTAGTACTATATATAGTTTTATGTTACACATCACAATGCTGCATGTCAAGAATTATGCAAATGAAAGCAAAGTCTTCAAGTTGGAGGTTCCTTTGACTGTTTTGTTGTTCTAAATATTGTAATATACGCACTATACACAATTCATTATTTAATAAACAATTTATTTAACAAGCTAGTAGCAGTACTAGCCCTCCCATTAAAGAATGTCTGTATTAACTGGAAGAGTGGTTCATGGTACAATGTAGTGTAAACAAGAAACCTTCACCAAGATGTTCAATTTTATCACCTGTGCTCACCAGCACAGAAGGTATGCTACAGGAAAAGATCTACTAAAAGTACTCTGAGAAAACATGTATCATCAGCTGTAGAGGTGTGCTCTTTACCCAGCCCATTCTGTCTAGTTCTTGAGCAAACTGTGAATCAAGGTGCAAATATTTCCAGTAGTGAGTGAAAAGCACCAAGGATGTGTTCAACATTTAACAGGGACCCTATGTATACAGTACAAAAAATAAAATAAACCAAAGGCAGATAAAAAATGTACAAAATAGGAAAATTTTCAAATGTCTCATTGTATTTTCAAAGAAACTACAAGGCTTCCAAAAAGGGTATAAGAAGAAAAAAATTAAAAAGTGTGAACTTGTAGAGTTCAGAAAATAAAGGATAATGGAAAGCATTATCCAGAAGCAGGGAGAGGTATCAATTGCTGAGATTTACTGAGTATCTATAATGTGCCATTCACTATTCTAAACTCACAAAATCTTGAAACTAGGAAGTGTTTTTAAACTCCATCTTAGAGACAAGAAAAGCACAGAGAACACAGACAATGTAGGTATTACTGACAAATGAGCCACTTCTGAATGAGTCCATGACTAAAACAAGCACAGACTTTAAGCACGTTTCCCTGTTGTACTCATTTACTCTGCGAACATGCTTACACGAGACCACAGATATACACGTCAACAGTTTTGGCAATAATGAAAATGAGAGAAAGCAATGTGTGTATCAATACAGTTTTATACATTGAAACATCTCATTGATCAAATATACTATTTATGTAGCTAGAATGAAATAGTGTTATACAAACTATGAAAAATTATAGGCAACAAGCAAAGATCAACATGAACTATTCTTGATTTTTAAATTATTTTCTAAAAATGTGTACAAATGAATGCACACTTGAATGTGTGCAGGTAAAAACCCAAAGACTATGAGAATTCAAATTCAATGCTTACAGAAGCAGAACGAGGAAGACTGATAGGAAATACAATACTTTCATGCTTATGTAAAATTCTAATTTTTGAACAAATTTGTCTTCATTTTATAAAGAAGGAAAAAACCCAATTAACTGTGTAATTATACAAAAAAATCTGTATAAAAGTAAAGAATAAAAGAGATTTGAGAGACTGAGAAGAGGCCAAATTTTAAACTTCATCAACTACAACTATGCCTCCTCATCAGGTACATAACCTTAAAACACTTGTGATTGTGATCCTCTCTAGCCAGCTCATTGGTTCAAAAGACATGACAGAAACCAGAATATCAGTTTCCTGGGAAGGAAGCAGGGTACAAGAGAATTTTCTGAGCTGACATAAATGCTCTGTAATCTTAGGTTATAGCCCATGGTTAGCCAACATCATTTATTTGGCAAAACTCATCAAACTGTATATATTAGGAGGGGCTGGAGATTTAGCTCAGCGGCATAAGCACCTGCCTTGCAAGCAAGCGGTCATGAGTTTGATCCCCAGTACCGATTAAAAAACAAAAAAAACTGTGTATTATGGAGGTTTTCATTTTACAGTGTGTACGCCATATGAAAACTAATAGAAAAAGCCTACAAGAGGTCCCGTTTGACGTAGCTATTCCACTTCTGGGCATATTCCAAGAAGAACTGAAAACACCGTATCATAGTGATGTTTATAGCAGCACAATCTGTAACAGCCAAATCTTGGAAACAACCCAAATGCCCATCAACTGAAGAATGGATAAAAAAGATGTGGTATTTTTATACAATGGATTACTACTCAGCTAAAAAGAAAGATCACATTGAGGCTTTTATAAGTAAATGGATGCAACTTGAGACCATCCTCGTAAGTGAAATAAACCTGACTCACTTGTGTATATCCTGTATTGTCTCCCTAGTATAAGAAACTGAAAGAGTAAATAAGATACAGAGTCTTTAATAAATATTGAAAAAGGGTAAGAAACTGCTCAAAGAGGTAAAAATAACATAGGGAAAAAGAGAAAAGGAGGAACAGAAACAAAGTAAGCTAAATTCATATATATACTTACGATTACTAAGATATTGTACTACTAATTCTATTAGTTCTTGGAACAAACAGATAACATCCATAGGATTAGATCAATTTTGCATGACTGTATCTGGTAATTCAAATAAAAGTTATGAAGATAACTATGCAAAACAACAAAAACTGTTGTGTTCCTACTAATTTGTTTTGAAAGCCTACATTATTATTGTTTTGGCCCTTAGATATAGTTATTCATTTGTTGTTTTGTTTTTTCCTCTAATATAGAAAAGATAGATGTGTATGTATATGCCTATAATTTCACCTAAAGGGTTTACAAGAATTGATTTTAGTATGTGTAATAGTATGAACAACTATGATAGAAAATGAGATACCATGGTGGCCATTGATGACTTCCTATCATTTTTGATTCAAAAGCCAATAATGCCTTTTTCTTGGGTTTTGAATGGCTTTAATCTGTTTTCAATTATTTGATTCCAACATGTATGAAGGTATGGACGGCCATTTTGAAGAAAACAAGAGACATCATGGTAGCCACTGTTCATTTCCTGCTGTCTTTTTCTGAAATCCTGTGTTACCTGCATTGTTTTACTCTGCTCTACTTTGTTCTGTTTTGTTTTGGTTTGCTTTGTTGTGTTTTATTCTGTTTAAAGTAAAAAAAAAAGAAAAAACCTACAAAATCGATGATTACAAAAATAATACATGCTTACACTAAAAGACAAAAACAATAATGTTAGAAATCAATATTCCTTGTGATTTATCCCCTTTTGTTCAATTGAACCCCCTCACAGTTAACCACTGTTAATAGCTGGGTGTGTTGTAGTTTCCAAACTTTTTCCACATATAAATGTAAACACGTAGTTGTATCTAATGAAAAGATTATAATTACCTTAAGTACAGTAATTTGCTTTGGGTACTTAACAGATCATGAACATCTTAATTGAATATTTAATTCATTGTAAAGGTCATAAAATATTGCATAATGGATAAATCATAATTTCTTAAATCATTTTGCTATTGCTGACTACAACTTTAACAAAATGTAAATGTTTATATTTATTATAATTCTTTTAAATTTAAAAAATCGTACAGCATAATTAGGAACTTTAAATTGCTCCTTAGATACAAAACTTCCATTAAAATATGAAAGTGTATTTTTTATTTTAAGTATATGCCTTACCAATATATAAATGAGTATAACAGTATCTGGTGCACAGTAATTTAACATAATCAATGTATTATAAACAAAAGCTTCGGCACACTTTACCTATGAAAGTAGAAAATATGTTCCTTCGTAGTTTCGTTGCATCTCAAAAGTTTTAATTTAGAATTGAAATCTCATAAGAAATACAAGTAAACACGAAATAAAACTTTTCAGAAAGTGGAAAAAATACTAATCACTGCATTATTTAGGTCTAAAATGTACTATGCTCAAGGTACTGGAGCCCACTCCTTGTCTTCTAGAGTATTTTCCATAATAAAGTTTGAAGTCTGTATCATGAATCTGTCTATAAAAAGCTGCTAACAATAGATGAACTCAATACTATTACTAACATTAAAAAAAGATGCTAAAATAGTTTTTTTTTTACAAAGAAAAATATAATTTTCAAAGGAAACAATCACAAACCTAGGTCCAATCACAGGAATAAGTAAGACATCCTCAAGGTCCGGATGCTGAAGAACAGGAACACTTAATCCATTAAACTGCTGTTAAAAATAAATACACAGAATTATAAAGCATTCAGTATTTTTGATAAATTTCAACTTACAGATCCTGATACTTAACAGATCTACCATGACAGGGAAGCCTGAGCTGAGCAATTTCATTTTATCGTATAGGAAATAAAAAAGCATCTCAAAACATTTTATCATTCTGAGGAGTTATGGTTTAAATCTAAAATGTCCCCCAACAGTCTCGTGTGCTCAGAAGTGGACGCCAGTCAGAAGAGACTAATTATGTAGGGGCATGAGCTGAAAGGGTATATTCTTGTCCCTTCTCCCTCTTCCTGTTGCTATGAGTTGAGCAGCATTCATTCACTTGATGTGTGAAGCTGTGAGAAGGCAAAGGTACAATAAAGACCCCAAGTAGGTGCACATGCCAGGTCATGGATTCTCTGCTCAGAAAAGCCACAGACATCAAGCAGAGCCAGCCCAAGAGTGGACACGTGGTCTGTAACTAGCATGGTCATAGTGGTCAGGCTGCCCAAGACCTTTGGAGGTCACTTCGGCCCACAACTTGCCCCAGGTGCTAGATACAGAGCTACAGCACTTAAATGTTTGCTCTAGTAGTTTTTGGTCTTGCTTTGGTGTGATTCATTTCTATACTGTCATTCCTTCCTGTAGGAACGGAAATGTCTACCTTATACTGTATGTTTTGATTTCTATAGGAGCGTACTGCTAAAAGTTTGCTTTGAGTTTCAGAGGTGACTTTGGACTTTTCAGCAATGCTGCAGTTAAGATTGTGCTTACTCCTAGTAATGGAGTAAGTACATTTTGTAATAAGGAGACAGACATACACGTTTTGGGGCCAAGGATGGACTTTTATGATTTTCATCTAAAATGTCCTCCAAAAATCTCATGTGTTTGCAGGTAGGCCCTGTTTGGAAGAGATGAGTCATTAGAGGCATGACCTGGAAGGATATATGCTGGTTTCTGTCTCCTCCCTTGTTTTTCCCCTTCTTGGCTTTTTCACAGACTGAACAGCTTTTCTCTGCCTTGTACCAGGCTAATTATGGGCTGGATTCACTGTGATGCAAATAAACCCCTCCTTAAAACTTTATTCAAGGGATACTGCATCCAGCAATGGAGAAGTTAATACATGAAGGATCTTGACTTCTAACACTCAATTTTGCCCACGGTTTGGCTTTACAAACACAAGCGATGTTTACCTTAGGTAACTTTCGTTGCAAACTATCCAAGGGCTGGACAGAGTGGCACACCCCTGTAAGCCCTACACTTGGAAGGCTGAGGCAAGAGGACTACAACCAGTTCAAGGCCAGCCTGGGCTACATAAGTGACTTCAAGGGTAGCCTGCACTATACAGGGAGACCCTGTCTCAAAAACAAAAACTATATAAATGCACTGTTCTGTAGACTAGAAAAATTTATCAACTTAAGATTCTGAAAAAAAATTTTTTTCCTTGTTTTAATGTACCTACATTTCTGTGAAGTCACCACCTTTCCTGACTTCTTCCAGAGGATATTTCAGAAGGTAACCATCCCTAATACACAGCTATGAAGTAATTTAAAGGGTACGCTCCTTCTCATTCGATCAAACCCTTCTTCCACTTTCCCACACTCCATTTTTGGGGGGTTTTGGTTTACTGTTGTTTTGTTTTGAAGACAATGTCTTATTATGCAGTGCAGGCTGACACCAGGCTTACAGCAATCCTCTTGCCTTAGCCTCCTGAGTGCTAGAACTACAAGCATGGTCCACAGCATCAGCCTCCCTCTCTGTTTTGCTAGCCTTACATTCACAACTATAGAAAACAGATCTTTTCTAGTTCCCCAGCTCCTTGATTTTTCAGATGATGTCTAACTATTTTGTCCAGACTGGCCTTGAACTTGTGATCCTCCTGCCTCAGCCACCCCAGTGGCTATGAAGTTGTACCTCCACACCCAGCTAGAAACATTTCATATGGAAATAAATTCTTCTCAGTCTAAGGTCTTTCTCCTCCCCTTTCTATCAGGAGCATTTAGATGAAACAAAACTTTCATAAAATCGAACACATTATCATATTTTTTTTCCCTATTTGTTTCTGCCCTCTGTTATTTTTAAAACAGCCTTACTGAGGTATAATTTACATACCAAAAACTTTGCCAATTTAAAATGTTTAATGATGTTTAGTAAATGCATACATTTATCAAAATCCAATTTGAGATCATTTCTATCACTCCAACTAAGATCTCTCCCATTTCAGGTCGATCCTTTTCCTTGTTCCCAGGTAATCACTAATCTTTCTCCAAAAATTTATTTTCTGGATATTGTATATAAATGGACTGCTAAAGTATATGGTATATCTTATCTTGCTTCTTTCACTTAGTTTTTGAAGTTAATCCATGTTGTGGCATCTGAATAATTATTTGTAACACATACATTCCTACTGTATGAATAGTCTGCATTTTATCTGTCACTGGTTGGTGGAGATTTGGATTGTAGCCCTTCTTTACTATCATAAATAATGCCACTGTAAACATTCACGTTTGAGATTTTGTAGGCATATGCTCTTGGACCCTTTCCCATTTGCAAGAGATTCCACCGTCTCTTTCTAGCCATCCTTTTTTGTGCTCTGTTTGTACTCTGCCTCAAATGAGAACTATCATGTTCTTTAAGCTTGCGTGTTTGATTTCTCTAGCATTGTATCCAGGTGCACCCATTTTCCTACAAATCTTTCAAACGTGTCCTTTATAGTCATCATGTAAGACGTCACATTTTCCTTATGTAATCGTCTGTTGATGGATACACAGGCTGTTTCCAAGATTTAGCTATCAATTATGCTGTTATGAACACTGGTATGCAGGCATCACTGTAGTACAATCTTTATCACTAGTTGATATTCATGCCAACAGTGTAGGAAGTTTTTTATTTCACCACAACCATGCCAGAATTTGTTACTTTTGAATTTCCTAATGATCAACATTCTTTCTAGTTTAAGGTGGAACTTAGTATTGTTTTAAGTAGCATTTCTCCATTGGTTAGGGATGTTGAACATGTTTTCATTTATTTGTTTAGTACTTGTACTTCTTTCTCTGTAAAGTGTCTGTTCATTTCACTTGCCCTTTCTTGATTGGGTCATTTATTTTAGCAATGGGTCAAAAGATTATCAGCAAGAGGGAGGGGGTCAGTAGAATAAATATTCAGGAAATCGAATAATCTAAATGAATGTAAACATTACATATGTCATAAACATGAGATTAAAATATCAACAACAAAAATGGGGAAGGGGATTCAGAAGGAGGGAGGGAAGAGTGAAAGGGAGGATTCAAAGAAAGAATGAAGCTCTATTATTTACATGTACCCACTTCCCAAAATGAATAAAAACTGCATGAATTGCGAAGATGCATTATTAAAAGCAAAAGAATTTGTCCGGATATATGTCTACTATTTTCTGGGTAGGTCTGTAAGAATGGAATTGCTGGGCTGCCAAGTTTTAATATTTTTTTAAAGGTTTCTTTTTTTAAATTTTTTTTTTTTTACTGGTACCAGGGATCAAACTCACAACCACGTACTTGCAAGGCAGGCGCTTATGCCGCTGAGCTAAATCCCCAGCCCTTTGTTTAATATTTTAAGAAATTAACAAATTGTTTTTCAAAGAAGTCACACTATTTGACATTATAAACTGGAAGATACGAAGGTTCCAGTTTTCTTCTGTCCTTGCCAGCCAAATGAAATGTGTAATTTTTTAAATTTGTTTGCTGATATATAAAGAACTAAAAAAACCAGTCCTCCAAGATTTAAAGACACAATCCAAAAATGAGCATCTGAGATGAATGCATACTTCTCAGAAGAACAAATACAAAAAGCAAATAAATATGTGAAAAAATGTTCAACATCACTGGTCATTCAAGAGTTGTAAAGAGAGTCCACCTCACCCCAGAAGAATGGTTATCCTCAAGAAACCAAGCAATAACAAATACCGTAGAGCCTGTGGGGAAAAAGGGAACCCTTTTCCACTGTTGGTGGGAATGCAGACTGGTACAACCACTGTGAAAATGAGTTTGAAGTTTCTTCAAAAAATGAAGACTAGAGGTCCTATTCGACCCAGCCGGTAGAATTTCATCCTACTATAGCAATAGATATGCCCCATGTTTACAGCAGCACAATTTATAATAGTCAGATCTTGGAAATAACCTAAATGCCTACCCACTGAGAAATGGATAAAAATGATGGGGTTTCACTCAGCCATAAAGAAGGAAAACTGGAGACTTTTATAGGTAAACTGATGCAACTTGAGACCATACTCATTAGTGAAATAAATCACACACCTATGTGTAAATATTATGTTGTCTCAGCATGAGAAGCTGAAAAGAACAATATATGTATATGGAGATGAACATAAAAATAGTTAAACTAGTTATACTACTGATTTCTCTGAGTTCACTGAAGAGAAAGATTTGTGCTGGTATTATTCAGGCAATTGTCTTGTGCTCTGAGTGAATGGTTTGGGGGTGACAATGTACAATATACCACTGTTGCTCCCTGATTGATGTGTTTTGAATTTTTTTTAGTTTTTTTTTCTTCTTTTTCTGTCAAAATAAAATGGATTTGGAAAAATAAAAATAAGAAAAAAATTTGTTCAAACAAATTTGAGGAAAAAGCACTGAATATTACACTAGTCTAGATATCTCTATAGGACATATGTGGAATTTTGAATGGAATTTTGAATGGAGAAACAAAGATTTAATGTCTAATTCTCCCAAGTCTTATTTCCAATTAGATTCAGAAACAGCTCTACCACAGTTTCTTGCCCCGTGCCTATCACCCAGGCTTTCCTATCCAATTTTAACTTTTGGACTAAGGAACTAAAAGCCTAGTGACTCATCTGCTCCAACTCTGACCCCAGTTCATGAGATCTTATATCCCTGTCAAATTGGTATAGCAGAATGCCCAAGTTCTACACATAATTTATTAAATATGAAACTATGGACCTGCATACCCCCAATTGCTCTCTGCACAATTTTTAAATAGATTTTAAAATAGATTACTTATATTGTTTTATTTTCTGATTTTATTAAAGATAACAAGGTCCTTTAATATCTATCTCTTAATTCAATTAAAAATTTAACCGTATGAGAGCTACCTAAGTATTCCCTTTACCAGACATTATATAATCGGCCCTACTCATTACTTTCTGATTATAAGATAACAGGTTCAGAATGATCCTTTTTGCATATATTTTAATGAAGAAGCAAGACTAAGAGGACTCGGGAATTTATCCTAAAATTTAATATATTCAAAATCAGAAGTTCATGGTTCAAATTCTAGTATTGTCACTATATATAAGCTCGATAAATAAAATGTTCAAGACTCTCAATTTCCTCATTTATAAAATTAGAATATAGGGGGCTGGGGATTTAGCTCAGCGGCATAAGCGCCTGCCTTGCAAGCACATGGTCGTGAGTTCGATCCCTGGTACGGATAAAAACAAACAAAAAAAAAACATTAGAATATATCATTCTTCAACTTTTACTGAGGCACAACTAAGGATGTAGAAATCTAATTGAATACAACAAAAGATTTACACAAACCTTCTGAAATTCATCAAGCAACAGAGTTTTCACATGCTGAACTGAGGTTAAATGTGTATTTACTCTAACAGTTGTGAATGAGGGAGGGTGTGACAGATGTTTCAACAGAGTTTCAAACTTCCTTTCTGCTGCTGCTTTGCCTAAAGTATTTACAACCTGAAATGAAAAGAACAAGTTAATGTTTTTCTTTCATCAAACAAACTGAAATAATCAGCAGAATGAGATTTGTTCCACCTAACGAAACAACTGTTCAGCTCCATTTCAAGTTGGAGTTATCATTTTAGTGATAATTAACATTAAGGAAATAGTAACACTTCACAGGATTCTTGAATTGTGTTATGGTAATAAACAACATCATGTCTGACCATGACTGGTTTATAAAAAAAACACTGCCTCAACTGCAAAGCATTAACATTTTGAAAATATCAATATTTGCTGCATTTAGTCATACAAAAAAAACTGCCTCAACTGCAAAGAGTTTTGAAAATATCAGTATCTGCTACATTTATTCAAATAAATTCAAGATCTCATTCAATTATTTTTGTTCACAAATATATTCAATAACAAACTACTTAGGAGCCATTTAAAATATTTGAAGTATAAACAATATTAATATATTCACTGTCATCCAAAGATTCCTCCAGGACATCAGTTTTTAATATTTTTTAAAAAATGTAACAAATACATATGGTCCATAAAAAAACTGGTTGACTAGCAAGCGTATCTGTCAGAAATGAAGGTATAAAGACCCAAACCACCAGCTTCCCTCACAACTAACTGAAGCTTTTCAAGCACGTATTTTTTGTTTTGTTTTTTTGAGACAAGGTCTTGATTTGTAGTGCAGTGTTGGCCTCACACACGCAGATACCCTTGTAAGTTAGCCTCCCGAGTGCATTTAGAGAGGCACTCAACAAATTATTATTTTCACCCCAACGCTGGAGCATGCGATTTAAGAGAATGGGTGTGTTTCATATGCTGGATATTAGTTAAGAGCAGAGATCTTTTCTTGTTCATTCTTGTAACTCCTTCACTGTTATGCCCACTGACAGTTTTTCTTCTTTCCTACACCGTATACCTTATTCACCTTGTTCTCAGCAGGCATTTGTTATCTGTGAGAAGACAATGGATTTTACTCACGTTTAGACAGACAACTGGTAAGAAACGAAGGCTGTAAAAAATTTCCCGTTAGACTTAATCTATTTCGCTAGGTCGTGTAATATTTAAATTTTCGCAAATATTAAATATGTTAATCTGACCTACCTCCTTATTCATAAAGCCGTCTTTAAGATACTTCTCAACTTCAGGTCTTAAAGATATTTTAGGAAAAACAGGCATTTTTTTTTCTTGCTTAGTTCTTCAAGATGCTGAAAACGGTAGGTTTTCTTTCCAAATTGCAGACAGCAGTGTCTTCACAATGAGTAGCTACGCACAGTATAGGGTCGGACCACCAGGCATCCAGAGAAATCGCGCCGTTCAGGTCAAGCCGCGTAAGGAAACGCGTGGAGCCCTTCATGATTTCTCGAGTTTTGCCTAATTAGAAGCGGCCTCTTTGCCTCCAACACCCCAGGCTCCCGTCCTCGGCGGATGTTCAGGGAAATACCGCACTGGATGACAGTGACACGTTGCAGAGAGAATCAAACAAAATGCTGTGTGTGTGCCTTTTGGTTAACTGAACACAGTAGCGCATCATCAGCTCCGCCGCTCCGAGTATTACATCCTGGTTTCCGATCACGCCCCCCCCCCACTTTTGCCGACAGCGACTTTAAATCAGATATTAAGGTCTTTCCCTCTTTTTAAAGACCAGGGACGCAGCTGTCGATCTAGAAAGCCACGAGAGTCTCAAAACCTTTGTGAAGGGTGACTGCGGAGGGAGCGCTCACCAGCGGAAATTTCCCACTGCCCTATCTATCCTAGCATCTCCCAGGTGCTACCCGCCCACCGGAAGTGAGACCGGAGGAAACGCCACGTCGACGGCGTGGGTGGACGTAGTGCATTGACGTCACGCGTCGAATTTCCGGCGATGGGCGGTCTTCGGAGCCCAAGGAGGCGGGGCGGAGGCGGGGCGTGGCGCTGGTGGAGATTACTGTGGGTAGGTGGGTTGAGACCAGGGGACTACGGGTCGGCGTTGGGCACAGCGGACCCGAAACAAAGGACTCTCGGTCCCCTCTTGGCGCTGCGTCTCCCCTGCTGTGGCTGAGCCGTTAGGTCGAGTGTGCGCGGCTGACCGGTGCCTTCGCCGCGGCATCTCGGTGGGCTCCTGCTCGGTCCCCACGGCCAGCGCCGCGGTGCGGGACCCGGCTCGGCGGCACCTGCTGCTTAGGGAGCCAGCGGCCTGGCCCCGTGCTCATGATGGGGCTGATTTTCGCTAAACTATGGAGCCTCTTCTGTAATCAAGGTGAGGAGAAGAGAGCTGACCCCGCAGGGACAGCGGAGGACGGTGCTCTGGGGACCAGGGCGCCCAAGACGCCGAGATGTGGCCCGGTGGAGGGGCAGCAGAAACTCTGTGTTTCAGACCGGAGGGCTGTGCCGGGGAGCCCTGGGGTGGGTAGAAGGGGGATCGGTGAGGAGTCTGCTGTCCCAGGATCCAGACTGGGGGCTTTTGGCCAAGCCAAGCGGGAAGCACCTAATGATGCCTCGAGGGCCTTTTCTGTCTCTTTCGAAGCTTCCTCGCCTTCTCTTTAGTTTTGGCTATAGTTTGCCCGCGAGAAACTTTCTTTTTCATTTGTTTTCTCTTTAATTTTTTTTACCGACTTGGTGTTGTTTTCCGGGCCGCTCTCTGGACGTTCACGTTCTTTCAGATGTTACCTGCTCTATAGGACGAGTTCTAGCGAGATACACGGTTTCTGGAATCATCATTGTACTTTTCCTGGTCCTATCGCCTTCTTTTCTTTTTATTGTTCTAGATGTTAAAGAAACTAAACGCTTTCGGTTTGTGTAAGGTGTTACGTAACGGTAATTAAGTTAGTCTAGAACAGGTTATGAGGCACCTGGCAGCTGCCAGTCCAAAGGGCCAAGAAGTTGTGCAACCTGTTCTGAGTCAGAATGAATTTGATGTGGGGTTTTCTACAGGGAGAAAACACCCAGATCAAAAAGGGCTGGCAGTCAAGTTTTAGGTGTTCTCTTAACAGAATAGTTTCTTAGTAGTTGAAACCAATTTTAAATTCAGCTAGCTTCTTGCCTGACACAGTGTATGAAGTATTTTTGTATGACGATACTAATTTGTTACTATTCATGTATACACACTTGTTCTGGACTTAAGAAGTGGTGAAGAAAATGTAATAGCTTTGTTCATTTTTTCTATAGATCGTCAAAGACAATACAATAGTCCTCAGTTTTGTAAATAAAAATATTGTACATATATGGCAATAAAATAGATTCATATACATACACATATGTGTATACTCATGTGCAGTTTCTACAGGTAAATAGCACTTTTCAAGTGATTTCAAAGTGACCAGAGTTCAGCTTCTTGTGGCTATTTTTTATGAATTTAAATATATTATTTTTCAACAATTTATATTTTGTAATCCTTGTAATATAAATTCTTGTAGCAGAGTATTTTAATACACCATTAAAAGTATCAGTGTAATAATCACATCAACGTAACAGTGATTAATAATCACCTGTTACTGTTTTCCTAATTTAAAAAATGAAAATCATCGAAGCGTTTGATTCTTTTGTGAGCCCCATCCCATTCTCCTTTCTCTTTTATCACCGCTGTGTATCTTTTCTGCTTTGATGCTTCCTTAATTAGACTTTGAAGGAAAGAAAGAGATAAAGGGAAGATACAGAAGATAATAAGATATTCACAGGCTACTTTTTATAGTCATGTCATTGTTCAGGTCACCTAAGTCCCCATTTCTTCCTGGAATTTAACTTCCCTTTTAAAAAGTTAGAACTAGTGGTTTTTCTACTATTTCTATTCTCCTGTTTTGTAACATTTACTAGTATTGTAGTTCATTATCTAGTCTTCAAATTCAATGTTTTGTTTTGTTTTGTTTGGTGGTACCGAGGATTGAACTCAGGACCTTGTGCTTGCCAGGCAGGCAGTTACGCTGCTGAGCTAAATCCCTGGCCCTTAACTAGTCTTCAAAATTAGGCATGGGAGGTACCAAGATTAAAAACAAAAAGTTAAAGGTGATTGCTCTCAGAGTACTCAAAGATTAGTAAATTAGACCTCAAAAAATGGAGTGAGGTAAATTATTTAACAGATGTTTGTAGAAATGCAGTGATGGCACAAGAAAGAAGTGAACCATTTTTCTCGGGTAGTTCTTGGGAGATTTTTACAGAGTAAGTCACACTTGGATTTAATAGGGCATAGGAGGCTAGAGGTACATTGAGGGGATGGTGTCAACTATTTTAGACAGGACTAATATGCAAAAGGAGTGGAAGGAAATAATTTGGTACATTTGAGGAAGCTGATAGTAGTTTAGTTTGCATAGTGCCTTAGTTTGGTTGTTGCAGTTAAATGAGATTTGGTAAGGATGGATCTGGGGACCCGATCGTAGAGGAGCTCAACTGTTGACCAGGGGATTAAGCTCTGTAGAGAAATTAAAGCCATTAAAGAGATTGGTCATTGGATGTTTTTTCCAAAACAGGAGAATCAGGTGATCAGCTTCATATCTTAGTTTGTATTTTTGTTTTCTGTATCAACAGAATCAACTACCAGTCTTAGCATTTTTGTTCACCACCATACACATCTAATCCAAAGGTACTCAGTTTTGGTTGAATATTGGAATAATATGCCCAGGGTCCTGCTTTAAATTAGTGAAATGTGAATACCAACATGATCCTGGTGAGCAGCCAGTGTTAAGAACTGCTGATCTATCTTTTGGACTTCTTTCTCTTATCTTTAATCTTTCATTATTATGCCTTTTTTGTTTTTTATTATATTATAGAGCCCCAGGCATCTACTCATAAGTTACCTTTCTAGAATAAGTGTATTATAACATGTGTTGCCTAAGTGAAGAATTTGTGTAATATTGTATTAATTTGAGGTGAGAGGGCTAATTACTTTGGCACAATTATCATTGAAGGAAATAATTTCAAAATCTAAATACCTTTCAAAACGTTCTTTTGTACGTAAGTGGTTATGTATGTATGTTTTTACAAAATGCATACTTGAGAATGTGTTGGTACTTCTTAAACTCATCTCTCCGAAGTTTGGCTTTTTAAAAATTTCTTTTTAAGTCTCATGGGCATAGTCTTTCCTTTTCTGTGTTGTGACTGTAGTCAGTAGTCATCAGTTTCTTCTAATGTTATCCAGAAAGACTAACAAAATAGGTTTTAGTTGCAGTTCACTTTCATAGCCAAATAATAACATCTTCATATTATTATCTAATGATTTTTTTTCATTGGTTAATTTCATGTTCATCACCCTTGGCATTGATACCTGACTTTGTATGAAAGTGTTACCGTTTATTTCTTACTGCTCAAATACTGTCTTATATTTTTCCTTTTAGCTTATTCTCTAACTGCTGAACTTTTTACTGGTTTCCAGCACATTAAACTTAAACTTACTATCTGTTATGGTTTGTGTCTAGATGTCCCCCAGAGCCTCATGGGGTTAGGCTTGTAGAGTCTGTGGCTGATTCATGATCCAATGCTGGGATTATGAGTGTGAGTGTTACATTCACTTGAGGGTGGGTAGCCTACATACAATATAAAGGACAGTCTTCTTTGTGCACTTCTTCCTTTCGCTCATCTCTTTTGCTGTCTGCCATCCTCATGAACTGTTACTACTATGCTATGAGCCATCCTGCCTTTGGCCCTAATGATTGTGGACTGCAACCTCCACAAACTGTGAGCTAAATAAACCTTTCCTTCCTTAATTTGGGGGCTCTGATATTTTGTCTCAGCAACAGCAGACAAGTAACAAGAGCACTGTCTGCTTTGTCTTCTAGAACATTATACTTTTGTAAGCATGAGCTCATTAATTCATTTAGATTTCTTACACATCCTGTTCCTCAGAGGCTTTCTTGACTAGTTTTCCAAAAATAGCACCCTTCCCATTCTAGCTTTCATTCTGTCTTTACTGTGTTTCTGAGTAATGTTGGTCACTACCTATAATTGTATTTTACATTTATGTATTTTTTTTTCTTTTAGTAGAAATAAACTCCCTAAGACATGATCTTTGTGTCATTCACTGTTGTATTCCCTGTGCCTTGATGCTTTCTGTCAATTTCTTAGTTTTTTTAAGTATAAAACTGTATATCAAAGTCATACATACAGATAAAACTAAAAGTGCTAAAGTCTTAAAATGCTGTATATCAGTTATATTTCTTTCAATGCTTAACTTTTCTCTCAGTGTCACGTACATATTTCTTGAATACTATGCCTATCTGGAAATTGTAAACACTTTGTCTTGTGATAGAAAAGAAAGTGCTTTTATGTCTGTTACCCTTTTTTCATTATCCTAATATAAATTTGATTTGATCTGGACTCTGCCTTTCCATTATTGTGGCAATATTGCTAGTGTGATATATTCCTTTTCTTCTCTATTTCTCCCCAGAGAAATTATGACATTGTGTCAGTTTTCTTTGTACATTTGATTAAGAGATTTCACAATATCCCAAAGCCTTCCTGTAACAGTTTTTCCCACCATACACCTAAGAGATTGTGTATCTTTCCTCTTTACACCCTGTGTCTTCCTTTCTGGTCCAAACCCAACATAGCTTTTTGTGCTCTGTACACAGCTATTCTCTGCTTGTCCTTGCTCTTATCCTAGGAATTTCCTATGCCTTTCCTCTTTCATTAAACCATGTCTTCCGCCTTCTTTATATTTAATATTGGTGGAACACATCCTTTAGAATTTCCTGAGAGTGTATCCGTTAGTGGTAAATTTTATGGCAATTCCAAATGTCTGAAAATATATTGATTTATCCTTTTACGTGAGTTTGGGCTAGTTACACAATTATGAGTTGGAAAACACTACTTTCAGAATTTTCAAGA